GGGAAAGAGATCCCACACACATGCCACAACTAAGGAGCCCTGGAGACGCAACTAAGGAGCCCGCCTGCCGCAACTAAGACCTGGCGCAACCAAAAATAAATAGAAAAATAAATATGTTTTTAATGAATGAGCTTAGATCCTAGGTCGGAAGTGGGGAGGGGTTCTCCTTATCTCCACCCTTTTCACTTGACCAAGTTAGAAACCTTGGTATGTTGTTTTCAAGCCTCCTGGTGCCTCTGATGATGAGCCTGTATAGAGAACTGCTGGAGTCCATTACTGCTAAGATCTCTTTTTAGTGACAATGTATTGATATAACTGCATGCTCAGCATTGTGCTAAGTACTTTGTGCACATTACCACTGTTAATCTTTGCAACAATCCCCCAAGGAGGTACAGTATTAGTATTTCACTTTTATTGATAAGAAAATTCACAGAGGTTAAATAATACACCCAAGTCCATCAGCTGATAAGTGGTGGCTTCAGAACTGAAATCTAGGAGCAAGTTCAAAGCCCATGGGCCTCACTATGCTATACAGTCCCTTCCAAACCCTAAGGCTGTTTCCCTCCAAATGCACTTTTCCAAGTATATACGTTTTCACATAGTAACTTCCCAAGGGAATCCTGGCTCTAATGATATAAATATAAATATGTCTCTAATTATAGTACATCAATATAATGGAATACCATGAAGCCATTAAAAAATGATGCACATGTTTATTTATTGACATGGTTAAATACAAAGTATAATTGAGTGAAAAAACAAATTACAATGAAGTGTACTGTGTTCATTTATAGAAATAAATCCAACATGGGCTGGAAATATTATCTTTGGGTGAGGGGTGAAGGTGATTTTCACTTCTGAGCTTACTGTGAAAGGGTCAGGGTTCAGACTAGAAGTCAACACGCAGCCTTTGGAGGACCATTCCAAACAACAGGAAAGCTATGAAGTTACAAAGCTGTCCAGGAAGCTCTCAAGGGCCCAGGACTGGAGTTCTGGCTCTGACAAGAGCGAGGAAGCATGCACATACAGGCATGACCACCAGGGGGCAGTCGAGAACCATCCTCAACTGTAAGTGAAGCCACTTTCAAGCGGGAAGGTTTTACACCCGAGGTGTGGTGCCGGAACGTGGGAGTGGTGGTGTCTGGTCAATGTAGGAACACAGACAGAGACAAGCCCTGGGTTCACATCCTGTCTCTGTGCTCATTCACAGGATACCTTGTGCACGTTGGTTCTATCTGAACCTCTTTCCCCATCCACGAGTGTAAGGCCACCCCCAGGCCCATGTAAGGATGCCCTTGGCGAATCCATGGCAAATTGCAGTGGGCAGGGCCTGACCCATGCAGGAAGCCAGGAGGACCACAAGTGCCCTGTGGGACAGGGATCCCATCCCCAGGGCTTTGGCCTCAAGTAAGTGAACTTCAATGATTTACCCCCAAACTGTGGTCCTTGTGAGCCTGGGGAGGGTTTGGTATCTTTCCTGGGACTAAGCTGTTAATCCCAGACCACAGAGAAACGGCACTAGCACAGGTGAAAATAATGGCAAACTTTATTGGCATAAATCACAGGAATTGAAATGGGAAAAAGCCAGGTTATAAATTTACAGAGAAAAAAAATTGAAATCAAATCATCAAATAACCATTGACCCAGAGGGTGGACCTCTGAAACTCCAGGTCCTCTAGGGGAGGGGTCACTGTAAACAGAACAATAAGGCCTGTGCGTAGACGTGGAGACATCAGATCCGTGGCGGGGCCTGGCTGACCTCCCCAGACCCGGGCTGCTCTCAGCCCTGCCACCAAGGAGGGACCCTATTCCCTCCCTGGGAAGCCTCCTTGAGAGGCTCAGCACACCCAGCCTCTGCTAGGAGGCTAGCGGAGTGGTCTGGCTCTTCCTCACTTTAGACCACACTGGGACCCCGTTCTACTAACCCAGAACCCCAGCCCTACCTGTCTCATCCTTGGGGGAGAACACTGTGGGGGCTTCCTGTTGCTTCAGCGAGATCTTGTCCTTTTGTCCAGAATCCTAGCAGGCCCCCAGCCAACAACCTGGGCTCTTTTCCCCAGGACACCAGTCTCCAGGGAGGGCAGGAAATTTGGGGAAGGGATGCACCCAGTGGAATCAACAAGACTAATGGTCAAAATCAGATACCAGCTTTCCTGAGGAGGCGGAAGAGCCCCAGAGAAGCAGTGAGAAGGCCGAGAATGTTCTCTTTGTTGCCACAAAGTTCACAGGGGAGTGGACACTCCTAATGGCGTACTTAGGAAACAGCACCCCCAAAGTGAACTTCCCCCTTCTCCTCCCTCAGGAACAGGACGGATGAGGTTTGGAATTCTAGGCCCCCAAGGGCAAGACACACTTAAGGCCGGTTTCAGTGAAGAGCTTGCTGGCCTGGATAGTAAGGAAGGGGTTTCAAAATACAGCAGTTTATAAAAAACAGTCCTTGTGAGCCGTGAAGTTAAAGAAGGGCAGTCACAGAGCTGCTCCCAGTTCACCTGCTTGTGCTAAGAAAAAATAAAATACAAATTGCTTCACCCCCTCCAAGCCCTTAGTACAAGGCAAACCCCATATACCAGAGCCACCGTGGCATAGACAGGACAGTGGCAGTGCACACGGGGGAAAGGTACAAAAGGAGACGTCTTTAAAATCTCTTCAAAATCATTTTTGTATAGAGAAGTAAAAGCAACTCAGACGATATGAATTCAAACCTCAGTGTAGAAATCTATCAAAGTTGGTACAGTGTCCAGGCACAGGGCGAAACCCCACCTCACACCATCCCTGGAGAAGGAGGAAGTGATTATAAAACATTATTGCTGGAGAGGCCATTCTCAGTAGAACCAGAGAAGTTTCAGGGGTTGGGGGGCAGCTGCCCAGGCCTGGGGAGACTGGAAGGGCAGGAGGCGCACAAGGAATCTTCCGTGGCCCCTTGGACACTTCCACCCTTGGATGGATGGATGGATGGGTGGATGCTGGCATTGTCTGGAGGGAGCTGCTGTCCCCCAATACTCTCAGAACAAGGAAAATCAGGTTGTGGGGTGGGGATATGGATGAAAAGAGGCCCCCACGTGACCCTGCCTGCCCTCCCCACCCCCACCCCCAGCTCCACTGCCGAAATATGAGTGAGAGATGGCTCCAGTGTGGGGTGCTGGCCTGGCCAGGCGGGTTCGTGGGGACACAGGTGGAGCACTCCAGCCTCTGCCTCTGGGGAGGGTGAAGAGCTGGCAGCCTGGGGGGAGCTGCAGGAGGAGGAAGGAGGCCCAGAGGCTCTGGCAGGGGCTAAGAAAAGCAGGCGGGACCCCTCAGGACCCTCTTGCCATCCTGCACCAGCCAAGGACGTGGTTCCAGTTTCAGTCGGGTTTGCCCCTTCACCCCTAAGCGAGGCCTCTGGGTCACAGTAGCAGTTGGGAGGCTGGGCCGGGAAGCGGGGCAGAGGAAGGGATGAGCGCGCCTAGCAGAAGAGCTTGACAAAGCAGTTCTGACAGTAAGGCTTGTCGTTCTGCTCCTTGAAGGTGCCCTTGTTGAGCTGCTTGAGGCAGAAGGCACAGACAAAGTGCTCCGGGTGGAACTTCTTGGCCATGGCAGTGATGCAGCGGCCCGTGATGGGCTTCTGGCAGCCAGAGCACAGCGAGCCCCGCCGCTCGTGGTAGTGCACCTCACAGTAGGGCTGCCCGTCGTGCTCGAAGAAGCTGCCGTTGACAAATGGTGTGAAGCATTCCTGGAGACAGAAGAGGGGTGGGGCAGGGGGGGCAGGGGGCTCAGGCTGGGGCTGGGGGCTGAGGCAGCTCCCAGGTGATGGGCAGGAGACCGTCAGGGTCATCACACTCGAAACGATTCCCCCTTGCTGAGCATCCTCTACGTGCCAAGTGTGGTGCTAAACGCTTATTGAAGTCTCCCAATGACCTTGACTTGCCACTGCTAAGTTGCACTGCCTGAATTCAGACACGGGTCTTACGCCTGGGCACTTCAGTAGGTGGCTTAACGGTGTGCCCAGAAACCCTGGTGTCGAGAAAAGGGTTCCAGGGTCAAACTCTGCATCCTAGATTCCCATTTGGAGATCCAAAGGCATGCTTAGGTATTAAAGGCTCTGAGAAGTCTGGCAATGAACAGTTTCCCAAACTTATTTGATCAGGGGACACTTACTGGATCTCTAATAACATCTGGGGGACATTACCCCCCAGAATGCAGTCTGGAAACCATTGCCCATTTCTGCTGAGGCTGCTAAATGTTTGCATTATCTCATTTCACTCTCACACACCCTTCTCCCGAACATGACCCGTCTCAGGGCTGCTGCACAGGACCACCTTGCTCTTGGTTTCTGCCAGCCTCAGTACGAGCCCTGGCCCAGGACCTACTGGACTTGAAGGAGTGTACCCCCTGCCTTCTCACCTCATTAATACCCCCAAACAGGGCCTGTAAATCAGATTCAGAAAGTACAGTGAGGTAGGCCCTTCTCTCCCCACTGCTCGGCTGCAGGAGGAGGAAGGAGGCCCAGAGGCTCTGGCAGGGGCTAAGAAAAGCAGGCGGGACCCCTCAGGACCCTCTTGCCATCCTGCACCAGCCAAGGACGTGGTTCCAGTTTCAGTCGGGTTTGCCCCTTCACCCCTAAGCGAGGCCTCTGGGTCACAGTAGCAGTTGGGAGGCTGGGCCGGGAAGCGGGGCAGAGGAAGGGATGAGCGCGCCTAGCAGAAGAGCTTGACAAAGCAGTTCTGACAGTAAGGCTTGTCGTTCTGCTCCTTGAAGGTGCCCTTGTTGAGCTGCTTGAGGCAGAAGGCACAGACAAAGTGCTCCGGGTGGAACTTCTTGGCCATGGCAGTGATGCAGCGGCCCGTGATGGGCTTCTGGCAGCCAGAGCACAGCGAGCCCCGCCGCTCGTGGTAGTGCACCTCACAGTAGGGCTGCCCGTCGTGCTCGAAGAAGCTGCCGTTGACAAATGGTGTGAAGCATTCCTGGAGACAGAAGAGGGGTGGGGCAGGGGGGGCAGGGGGCTCAGGCTGGGGCTGGGGGCTGAGGCAGCTCCCAGGTGATGGGCAGGAGACCGTCAGGGTCATCACACTCGAAACGATTCCCCCTTGCTGAGCATCCTCTACGTGCCAAGTGTGGTGCTAAACGCTTATTGAAGTCTCCCAATGACCTTGACTTGCCACTGCTAAGTTGCACTGCCTGAATTCAGACACGGGTCTTACGCCTGGGCACTTCAGTAGGTGGCTTAACGGTGTGCCCAGAAACCCTGGTGTCGAGAAAAGGGTTCCAGGGTCAAACTCTGCATCCTAGATTCCCATTTGGAGATCCAAAGGCATGCTTAGGTATTAAAGGCTCTGAGAAGTCTGGCAATGAACAGTTTCCCAAACTTATTTGATCAGGGGACACTTACTGGATCTCTAATAACATCTGGGGGACATTACCCCCCAGAATGCAGTCTGGAAACCATTGCCCATTTCTGCTGAGGCTGCTAAATGTTTGCATTATCTCATTTCACTCTCACACACCCTTCTCCCGAACATGACCCGTCTCAGGGCTGCTGCACAGGACCACCTTGCTCTTGGTTTCTGCCAGCCTCAGTACGAGCCCTGGCCCAGGACCTACTGGACTTGAAGGAGTGTACCCCCTGCCTTCTCACCTCATTAATACCCCCAAACAGGGCCTGTAAATCAGATTCAGAAAGTACAGTGAGGTAGGCCCTTCTCTCCCCACTGCTCGCTCCCGGCCCCCTCCAGAGGAGGGCTGGGGGCCCCTTACCCGACACACAAAGCACTCAGGATGCCACAGGGTGTTAAGGGCCGAGATGTAGTTCTCCAGGATGGCTCGGGCGCAGCCGCCACACTTGGGGGCGAACATGTCAAAGTAATCCTTCCGGCAGTAGGCCTTGCCGTCTTTCTCGTGGAATCCTGAGGAGGGGGGGTGTGGGGGGCAGATGAGGCCTCCAGAGGAGGAGCCACCCTGACTCCAGCCTCAGCAAGGTCTCCCACCATGCCCCCGCCTCCCCAATGCTCCAGGTGACAGCGAGTGAGATGGTACCGCTCAGTACCTTCAGGCCCGAAGAAGGCTCCACACTGGGCACAGAAGAAGTGCTCGGGGTGCCACGTCCGGTCAAGGGCTGTCACCACTTTCTGTGAAAGCAAAGTGTGGGACCAGAGCTGAGCGGCTGCCCCACTGGACAGATCCCACAGTTGAGACCTACAGGTAAGGCCGTCCTTCCACCCCACCCCCAGCCCCAGCAAAGGAAAGAGTATAACACTCCCAAGATGGGGGTCTCTCCCAACTGTGCTCTGAATACCACTGAGAATTCTGACTTACTGAAGGATGTGATATGGCAGGCACACTCTGTCTCCTTTAATCCTCATGTGCAGTTGAGATCATAGGTTCTATTGTGACTCCCATTTTACAAGGGAAGAAACTCAGGCTCAGAGAGGCTAGATGTTGCCCTCGCATCACACAGCAGGAGAGTGAGGGAGCCCTCACTTCACTCCATTTACCTGGGCAGGGCTCCTAATCTCTGGGAGGCTCAGCAGAAGGGAATCGGGGATGAGAGGTAGCACTGCTTAATGTGCATTAGGACGGGCCATGCATCCGGCCTGAGTGTGAATCCCAGTTTCCAAGCTGTGTGAGCTCGGCCATGTAATGTGACCTCTCTGAGCCTCAGGTGGCACCACCTGCACCCAGGAACTCACATCCAGGATGGGCCCGTTGCAGTAGTAGCAGCGCGGAGAGAAGAGGTTGTGATAGTCCTTTTCACAGTAGGGCTGTCCATCCCGCTCAAAGAAGTTCCGGGATCCGATCTCCTCCTGGCAGTGGGTGCAGACGAAGTGCTCTGGGTGCCACGTCTTCCCCATGGCGGTCACGACCTGAGGAGAGAGGCAGGATACGGTTCAGGACACAGGTCTGCCACAAAGCACCCTCCCAGAGAAGCCAAGGTCCCGTGCCCACCTACCGCTCCCTCCCCTGCCCCACCCACCCCATTATCACCTGCCCCGCGATGGGTTTCTTGCAGGCCCCGCAGACCCCCTTGGCGACCGTGGCGACCCCCAGTTTGTTCAGGTCAGACTGCAGGCTCCCCAGCATGCTGTCAAGCTGGCTCCCAGGCTTTGGGGGCCCTCCCGGGGGAGAGCTGCTCCCTGTCTTCCCCTGGGCCATGAACTGTGGAGAGAGGGGAGAGGGCAGGTGAGGACATCTGGGCCTTGGGGATGAGGTTCGCAGCACCAGGGGCTCTCCCCTCTCCTAGACAGATGGACTGAAGGAGGCAGGAAGTGCAGCCCCTCCAGGGGCTTCAGAAGCCCTCAAGGTGGGAGTGGCATCTGCAAGACATTCTGGTGTCAGAGGGGCTCACGGTGGGCCTGACCGAGCCCTGGGAACACATGGCAAGCAGCACATTGAGCCCCAGCCTTGGCACTGACCCCTCCCTCGTCCTGCCCTTCAGGGCTGCTCTGGCTGGCGTTCGGAGGCCAGCCGGCCGCCCAGCACAGCTCTCCGTCCGCTCTTTGTTCCAGGCCCTGGATCTTAGATAGGGGAGGAAACAAGAATAAGAATTTCTTTTTTCTTAATTAAGGAAGAAAGAATAAGAGACCTTGTCATCGGACCATTTCACAAAAAGGACTTTAGGATGAAATGAAAGGATGGATTTTTTTTTCCCTACTAGCAGTACCAAAATCAGGAGAAAAAGTCTAGAGAAAAACAACCACGAGAGAGAGGCCCAGGGAGAGATGAAGAGGGAGAGAGAGGTAAGCCAACCAAAAGGTGCAGGACTTAGGGAAGGGAGGTGATGGGGCTGGAGAGCAAGGAGGCCTCACCAGGTACTGGGTCTGGGGCTGAAGCGGGGGAATAGGTTTTGGTTTTCCTTCTGGGAATGGCTTCCTCAGATGGAGCCTGGGGCAGGACCGAGGGGCAGCAGGAAGGGGCAGGCAGAGGGGAGGCCCCACGGGGAAGAAAGAGGGCAGCTGATGTCTCGGGGGTGAGAGCGTGGATATCAGGTTAAGCGAGGGTCCAGGGTCAAAGCCAGGTCTCAGGAAGGACCATGGTACCATGCAGGGCTTCTGGATGGAGGAACAGAGGGGATGTGCATGTGTGCAGAGTGGGAACACCACTTGAGCATAAGGACGGGGACAGGTAGGGCTGGTGTCAGGGCCCCGGGAGGCCTGCCTGCATCGGGGGGAAGAGTGGGTCCTCGTCCGTCTGGCAGCCCATGGACCTCACAGAGTGGGGCGCAGGAGTGGGCGGGGTGGGGCCCTGCACACCGTCTTCCCGTGGCCCCGCCCCAGCACTCTGGAGCCCGGGGGGACCTCGAGGAAGAGCCGAGGGCCCCAGGGTGGAGGAGGTGGGCGGGCTGGGCCGGGGAGAAGAGCTGCTGGCCGAGGCGTCTTTGCGATGCTGGAGCAAAGGGCCGGGAGGAGGAGGAGGAGGCAGAACAGAGAAGGTCCTTCTCAGGGGAATGGGAGAGCCAGGAGGGAAGACAACCTGGGAGGAAGAAGAGAGGGAGAGAGATGAAGGCCACGGCGGAGGAAACATCAGCTCAGCAAGTAGGGGCTCCCTGGGGCCCTCCCACTCTGACACCAAGAGTGAGGCTGGCCTCACAAGGCCATGGGATGCAGGACCCCCCCACACATGCCAAACTTCCCATCTGGCCGCTGCTGGGGAAGAACTGGAGGACCTCCGCCCTGGCCCAGCCCTGGGCAGCTACTCACTACCTTCTCTACCAGCTGCCCCCTAGCCCGCCTCCCACACGGCTGCACAGTGATGACAACGCCCTCGGTCAGCCAGTCCTGGGCAGAGGCCCCCGCGGCCCCCACGGCCTCCTCCACCTCCGGCTGGATGCCCAGCCGACCCTGCAGCTCCGCGATGAGCCGCTCCTGGGATGGGGTCCTGCTCAGGGTGGCGGGGTCCAGCCGGCGACGAGGGGAGGGCTCCCGGGACATGGGGTGAGCGTGGCCGGTCTCCCGGCTCCTTCTGATCATGGAGCGGATCTGGGGGGTGGGGGAGGGAAGCTGTCACAGGCCACTCTGGGCTCAGCAGATGCTGCTCAGTCCACACTCAAGAGCCCCCAGGAAGGGTGGGCAGGACCAAACCACCAGAGAAGAGCCAAGCTGAGCTAGGGTGGAGGCAGGGGGCAGAGCAGGCTCCAAGTCAGCCCTGACCTTGGGTAAGACACTTCACTTCCAGGGCCTCAGCTTCTCCATCCTTGAAATGGGGTAACGGTATTTTCTCAGCTGCCTTACAGGGTTATTACAAGAATTATTTGAAAGAATGTAAGTGGACATTCTTGAAAGGGCATAAGAATTTCCCTTCCTCCCTCCCTCCCTTCCTTTTTTTGATTTGTAGTAGAAAAAATGTGGTCTTTCCTTACAGTAAATCCTTCAACCAGGTTTTTTTTTTCCTTGTTTACATTATAACCTACTTGTTTCTAGCAGTTTGGTTATTATTATTATTTTTTGGCCACGCTGTGTGTCATGCGGGATCTTAGTTTCCTGACCAGGGATCAAACCCGTGCCCCCTGCACTGGGAGCGTGGAGTCTTAACCACTGGACTGCCAGGGAAGTCCTGGTTTGGTTATTTTTGTTGTTGTTTTATTTTACTTTGTTTTTGAAAAGGGCCTAAAATTTTAATCAAGAAGCGAATAATAACTGTTAACGTCAGCCACGGCTTATTGGGGACCATGTGCTATGTTCTTTCTAAGCACCTTCCAGGCATTACTTCATTTAATCCTCTGGACAGCTCTGGGGGAAATGGTCTATTACCCTCATTTTAAAGAAGAGAAAACTGAGGCTGGTGCGGGCGTTGCCCAAGGTCACCCAGGGAGCAAGTGTTGGAGGCGTGGTTTGTATTCAGTTCTATCTGGTTCCCAAGCCCATGCTTTTCACCATTCCACACACATCCCATCAGGATGTCAGGGGAAGCTCATCTGAAGTAAAAAGCCTTAATCAAGCAAGAGGCAGGGTGCCACTAAGGGCCCAGGGAGCTCCGCCGGCCCCACAGAGCCCACTGCCCAGGGCTGGTTGTCAGGGTCTCAGGCCACGGCATCTCGGAATCGGCTGCCCAAGCAAACATGCGCAGAGTGGGAGGCTGCATGCAATTAGCCAGGCGTGGTCCACGTGCGGCCTGCCGGGGCCATGCCTAGCAGCCGTGCGAGCTCACGCCTGCCTGGCCAGAGGTGGAAATCCTCTCCGTGGTGTTGGGTGTGTCCACAACCACAGCCTGTGGAAGTTCTGGCCGTTCCCTCCTGGCCTCTGCAGCGGCTTCGGTGGTGCCCTCTGGCCTCCTGGGGGTCTTGGGTCCCTGGGCTGGCCTGACCAGGCTGCCCCCCGTGGCCGTCTCTCCACCTAACTGCTCCTCCTCAACTGGGGCATGGCATCTGCTCTCTGGCTCCCCTGGCTCTGGCCTTGCCCTCTCCTCCTGCTGTCCACGTGCCTTCGTGAGACTCCAGGTATCCGGTAAGATAGCCTGACGGTCCACGGCCATGGCGGCTGGCTCGATTACTTCCTGGAAGCTGGGCGTAGCTCCCCGGAGGGACTCAGGCCTAAGCGCCTCCAGAGCCCACGGCCACTCCCATGTGGCAGCCACGGCCTCTCCTGGGCACAAAGCGTTGGCCGACAGCACTTGGGGTTGCCCAGCCTCCTGGGGACCTGTGCACCCAGCGTGGGGTAGAGCGTGGCCGGGAGGCACCCTGGAGAGCTCACTCACCAGGCTCGCGTTTGGTGGGTCCCTCCAAAGGCGAGCCTGGCTCTCTGCACCCAGTGGCCCCAGAGAACTCTCCGTGGAGGGAGACCTTGAGTTGGGGGTGTCAGGCATCTCCCCAAGGCCAGTCAAATCAAGCCAGCTGGGGGCCACACTGTCCTCAGGGCAGAGGACCTCCAGGGTGTGGCCGTGGCCTCGAGGGGAGGGTTTCCTAGGGGGTGGCAGGAATACATAGGGCCCAGGAGGAGGAGAAAGTATATGGTGTGGGGATGGAGCTGAGCTGGGCAGCAGCCTTGGGGAGCTCAAGGCCACAGCAGAGGAGCTGGTCTGGAGGAGAAAGACAAAAGACAGAGGGGAGAGGAGAGAGAGTTGGGAGAGATGAGGAAGGAAGCCCACTGCAAGGGGCAGGCTGGGCCTCAGGGCTCTGCGAGTCCCCGTCTACACTGACAAGACCATCTACACTGACAAGACCAAGGTGGTGGCGAAGCTGAGGCATGAGGACTGGCCCTGGAAGAAGACCCAGCCCCCAGAAAGGTTTTCCTGGGCTTCATATCCCTGGCTCCCATCAAACCCAGGCAGCAGAAAGCAGCCTCTGAGCCATGCCTGTCGGGCACTGCCCCCCGCCAATCCAAGTACAGACGAGGGAGAAAAAGCTAAGGTGAGGTGGGTCACGGGGAGGTCAGCCCAGGCACCAATCAAGGAACAGACAGCCACAGGCAGTTCTCGGCTCTGTCTCTCCCAGACAATCCCAGCTCTCCTACATCCCCCGAGACCTTACTCCAGGGGCACAGTGAGAACCAGCGCAGCTTCTCAAGGGATCTCAGAAAAGCAGCACAGCCTAAAGGGTGCTGGGGCAGGGCTCCCTCGGGCCAACTCCTGAGTCCAGTGTACTTGCTCCTGACGGTGGCCACTCAGAACCACTGGCACATGAGGGCCACAAGCCCAGGCCGCTCCCATCCCCCCCACCCCGTGAAACCCCAGCCGAAGGGAGGCTTGGAGGCACCAGTGGGGCCAAGAGCCGGCTCCCCTCCTCCGATTCCCTAAGTCATGCCCCTGCGGAAGGGTGGAGTCAGCAACTGTTGGCGAGTTCAGTCACCATCAGTCCCCATCAAAGCACTGCATCCTCTAAATAAAACATCTCGGGTCTGGCAGGCCTGGGGAGGAGATAGGGCGCCTCATGCAGGACTGGCCCAGTAGCCTGACGGGTGAGGTTTCCCAGAGAGAACTTGTGGGGACTCAGAGGCCCGTGGAGGATGGAAGGAGGACGGAGAAAGAGGCCTGTGGATTCAGGAGCCAGAGGCAGAAAGAAAGGATGTGTTGAGGACAGCCAGCCAGCGTGGGAGATGGGGCTCCAGGGCAAATGACCTCTCGGCACAGGATCCCACAAGGCCCAGCAGAGCACCCCCTCCCCTACCAAGAGCAGCCATCGACACAGGGTCCTTTGTCCCAGCCTCCTGATCCCTCGCCTGGGTGGCTGGGAGCTGAGAGCACCCAGGGAAGAAGGAATGTCCTGCTGAGCACGTCCTGTCTTCACAGGCTGAGAGGCAGCTCAGTCCCCACGTGGCCGCCCTGGCCCTCCCTCCCCCATATCCTGGCAAGGCCAGGGCACTGCCTGCAGGGTCCCAGGCTCAGGGAGAGGCACCCAAACACGCAGGGGCCAAGTTCCAGCTACTCATGCTGAGGTACAGGAGGGGAAGGATGGGGGTTCTGAGGGGCCAGGGCACGGAAGAGGGACCTCAGGGCACCTTAAAATCCGACAGCGAGGCCATCAGCTCGTCCAGCTCCCTGGTGGCAGAAGAGGCGGAGATGCGTGTCTGCTGCTGGCTGGAGGTGACTCGCTGGGGGCTGCTCATCTCGCCCTGGTTCACAGTGATGGCGGGGCTGCATGCAGGCATGGCATCAGCGGGGACCCCAGAGGCCAGCCCGTGCACCCCCAGCATGTCCCTCCCCTCCCCAGGGGATCAACAACTCAGCTCTGACACTGGGGTCCTGCCACTCCCAACCCTAGGGAAGCCCACCAGTTCCCAGTCTCTCCTGGGGACACATCGTTGGGAGGCGCTGCTGTCAGCCAGCAAGACAGAGCACTGAGGTGAGCTGATGGGAGAGAGGCAAGGTCAGCTCAAATGGCACTTCTTTCCAAGAAGACCAAGTCCAAGCCTGCCCGTTCAACAAGCCCCAGCATCCTGTGTATCCTCCACAACACTGCACATACATGTGAGGTTGTTCCAACAACACAGTAACACCAAGGAGAGCTAAGACTCGGTAGACACTTACCATGGGTCCTGTGTGCACGTGCTTTACGTGTGTTATTGGGTCTCACCCCTACTGAGGTAGGTGGTCTTATCCCCCTTATCCCATTTCCCCTTATCCCATTCTACAGATGGGAAGACAAAGGCTTGAGAGACAACACTTAGTAAGTGCACAGCCAAGATGTGAACCCTACTGTGTGGCTCCAAAGCCTGTGCTGACAGCTGCTGGGCTACAGGTGCCCTCAGCGTGCACAGTGTCTGTCCTTCCTGATGGATAGTGGCTCGTTGAAGGCAGGCATGGTGTCTGCGTGACTCGTCACCATACCCCAAGGCCTGATGCAGGGCTTGGCAAACAACAGGCACTTCAGAGGGAACAGGTGACACTGGGGATGAGACGGCAGACTCTGGAGCATGGGACAGGCTGGGCGAGACCTTCCTCTGCCTGGGAGGGCCCAGTGGAGACTCACACGGGGCTGGGCACAGAGCTCTCCAGCTCATCCAAGAGACTCTCCACACTGGGCCGCACGTCCTCCAGGCCCCGGCCTCCGTTCCGCTTGGGCTTCTCTTTGGTCAGTGGCCCAACTTTGCCCCCCAGCGGGCTGTTATTCTCCGGGATGCCGTAGTGGGGGCTCAGAGCCCCAGGCAGTGGGGGGCTTGAGTTGGCCTCATCTTGGGAGAAGGAAAGAGAAAAGCTGCTCAGCCCTGAGCCCTGCAGGGATCCAGAGGCCAGCAGATGGGCCTGGTGGGCCTGACCTAGTCCTACCTGCAGGGTAGCCTGGGGGGTTATGCTGCACGGCGTTCAGCTCCAGCAGCAGGCGGTCGAGTTCAGAAAGGTTGCTGCCCAAGGAGGAGCTCATGACAGTGGGTGAAGGCTCAGCCGACTTCTGCTTGTTGGGGAAGCTTTGAGAGGCAAAGGGAAGACCTCGGTGAGAGACGCTCCCCAGCTCTGGCGGCCCCCAAATCCTCAAGGAGAATAAGGCAGAGGGGATACAGCGTCTCCACCAGCCAGAGGACGGAGAGTGGGGAAGTGATGTGGCAAGAAGAGGGGAGGAAGGAAGTCTTGCTTCAGTTCTTGAACCTTCCTCAACGCAGGGCGATGTGAGAGCCAGCCCAGCTGCTGCATGGTGATGGCAGGTAAGGCCACCGGGCCAGTTGAGAGGCCTTCTGCCGTCTAACCCAGTGACCCTTGAGGCAGAATCCCCCTCCCCTCCAGCGCTGTGCCATGTCTGTCCCTGGCCTCAGTGGCCTCTGCCCGCCGATGCACAGGATTCCCAAGCAGGGGGGGGGGGCTGGGCAGTACCTGTACACGTGCTCTTCCTCGCCGGCTCGGGGACACGGAAGGCCGACGCCGTCCTGGGGGTTGGAGGCACTGGAAGTTTTAGCACTGGAGCCGTACACGGGGGACGGGGATGGAGGCTGCAGGAAGGACAGTGCTCAGAGCCTCCCCGGGGAGGAAAAGGAACAGCCAGAGTCACCCCCGGAAGGCTCCTGCTCACAGCCAGTCTCACCAGGGAGTTTCCACACTCTGACCAGGAGACAGGTGATTAACACTTGGTCACTGCCCCCTCATGTGGCGGCGGTGGGTGGGGAGAGCCAGACGCTTCCTGCCTCTTCTCCCTACTTCCCTGATCGCTAGCTCTCCGAGCCACTGCCAGACAAGCTCCTTGTGCCCTGAAGCTGACTTCCGAGGCCCTGTCCCCACCTTACCTGCTGGTGGATGAATCGGGAGGTGCTGGGCTGCCACTGGTCTAAGGGGTCAAGGACCGTGCCATTGAGGGCCTCGCTGGACGGGGGTGGAGGGACAGGGGGTGGCACGGCAATCTCCTGGTATGTGTGGTTTCCTGTTGGGTACGAGTAGGGGGTCTCCTCAGACAAGAACACAGGCCGTTTGGAGATGTGGGAGGTCGTGGACTCCAAGTCTGCCAGCAGGGCGTCTGCAGAGAGAAGGCACGGGGAGCGGGTAAGAAAATGGATCCTGGGGACTAAGTCTCCAGTGGCAGCGCCCTCCCTGCCTACACCCAAGAGTTAATGACTTCTGAGCACCTGCCCCGCCCATGGGATAAATGACTAGCTTCAGGTCAGGAAGGTACCAGCCCAGACCAGCCTGGCTAAGGACAGCTCCCAAAGCTCTTCTCCCCAGCCACGCAGAAGGTGCTCTGGAGGTTCCTGGGGCCGCCCTGAGGGCTCTCCTACCTCTGGGAGCCGGGCACCTGCATTCCCTTCCGACAGGGCTGTGCAGCTGGCTGGCTGGCCGGCTGGGAGTCAGAAGTACCTGCCTGGAACCCGCACTCTGACTCCGCAGGGCAAGGCGGAGAGAACGGGCGGGAGGGGCCCCACGTCACGGGGAGGGGCCTGGGCACTGCCAGGTCCCACTTAATTTCCAAGAGCTTAAGCCGGCTCAGCCCCCAGCCTGGAGGGGCCCCTGGGGTGGTACCCGCCCTCCTGACCAGGTAGAAGTCGAACCTCAGGCTCCAAGCTCCTCCCTGAGTCTCCGGGCTGCTGTGAGGAGTGTGAGGGACACAGCTGGTGCAGCGTTCCCGCCCCCCCACACCCCGCCCCTGTCAGCAGAGAGGGGCAGGACTGCTCTGTAGGCTGTTTCTGCGGAAGCCTGGCAAGCAGCCTGGCCCCAGAGGCTCCAGGGCCCCACTATTCTGCTTTTAACAGCAGCAAGGGAGCCGAATCAGCCCTCAAATGCAAGCTTCCACTACCCTGGCACTAGGCAGCCCGCAGGGGGCCCTGCATGTCCCCAGACCCCAGACAAGAAGGGTACAGCTGGAGGGGTGGGGGCAGGAGCTGCTGATCCTGCCCTCCTGGGACCCTCAACGGCCCCACAGCCTGGCCCTACATGCCATGCCCTCATTCCT